CTTATGTGACTTTTGTAAATATAATTTTGCATTTTTAAGCTGCCTCTTAAATAGGATTACTATTGTCTTGAGGATTACCCTGGAGCGTGGCACTATGTTTTCAACATAAAGGTTGAGGTCGTGCTCAAACAGTGGCGGCATGAGCTGAAGGTATCAACATATGACAAATATACACAAGATTGGCAGAGATATTTGAATGTCGATGAGAGGGTTGACATCGATCATTTCACGGCGCTTCTTTTTTATTAGGATACCGAGTCAGCGCAGGTATTGATCATTTTAATATTGATACGCAGTACAGTTTGTAGATACATTTCTTCTTTAGTAACATATATTGTTTTGTAGAATAAATCTAAGAAGGGCTCGACGAACCGTCTTAGTAAGCGCAAGCTTGACCACCACTTGGGATCGACGTCCTTTGCCAATCTTGAGTACCGTTATTGTCGAGACACAGTATAATATTTAAATATTGTATTCACATGCTACAATTATCAATATGGCCAAACAATTTTAATTTATTATACTTTGTAGGGGAAGCCGATAATGCCGATCAATTTGAAGGCAAAGTTAGCTTACGGCACCTTTCGCTCGACATATAAAGATGATGTCAAGATTAAAGAAAACATGGTGTTGGTGGTAAAAATTTTAAAAATAAATCATTATATCTTATGTAATATGTTCATGTTCAATTCATTTTTTGCCAATCAAATATATGTCTCTTCCTTATGTGATTTAGGATACTATTGATGCTGCGTCAAAGGATGCAGCACTACGTGCTACCCAAGAAGCTGTTGATGACCCTCATGTATTGTCTAGAGAGGAAAATGATTCCATCGCTATGAATGTGATGGGGTATAATAACCGGGGCAGATTTCCATTGATGGGGGTTGGAGCTTCACGGTGTACATCCAGAAAATCATCCACAGCGTCCTCAGCATCCTCGACTGTGACAGGATCATCTTCAAGGAGTTTTGCCACTGCTACAATTCTGCGCGTCACTCGTTATTTGCGCGGTAAGATCGACCATACACTACTCATGCAGCTAACGAAAGCTATGGTTTCAGATTTGCCACCATCCCCCACTAGCGATGATATTTTCACACACATCGTATTGTGCTTGTCCGACAAGATTTCGGGTGAATTATTTGGAGAAGTCATGGACAATGTAGATTTTGACACTGGCACACAGGTATATTAATAATACATGTCTTCTATTGCTAAATTTCATACTCTAAATTTAAATCACCATATTTTCAGACTGGACTTGCTGGAGGAAGCAGTAGCGGCGTGCAAAGGAGGGATATCGACGATGACGATGACCCGTGATTCTATGTGGTTGGTGAGTTTGTTAATTGTAGTCTTAATGCCATTCTTTTAATGTGAGACATAAGCTTTTGAAACAGATTCCTGTAACTAGGCGCCATGATTTGCACTGTAGTGATTTGTATCCAAACTAAAAGCAAGAAACTAAAACTGAAACATCTATTGCCGAAAAAAGTATACATATGTTGAGTTGAGAAGGGTGGCAGACACAGAATTATAATATTACTATCTCTTTTAGTAACACAACCCTCAACACCTCCTCTAATGCTATAAAAGCTTAAAAGCCCAAAACAGAACCACCTTCACTTTTAGTAAAACAGAACCACAGAATTTTAATATGACCACATTGAGTTTTAAAATTTTTTAAGGTCAAAATTTTAGGTTTCTTTACTTAGTGAAGCTCAAGATATATGTTGAATCTCTTTCAGCTATATATATATCTCTAATGGCATTCAGACTCATCAAAGTCCAAGTGACAAGATCACAAGCAACTCTCAACTTCCATACAAGAAACGGTCTCGCTCGGACACATGTACATATCAATCCCTATCTTAGAGTTTCATTATCCAAAAAACTACTGTGGGTTAGTATAAAACATGTGACTCAGTCTCCTCTAATGTTACATTAATATGGTCCCATGCAAGTATATGTATACTCTCAATGTCAAAATAATAGTACTGCATGAATGCCGACACGTCTACTCTTTTTTCTTCTCTCTATTTAATTTGATTTATCCAAGCCGCCAGCAAATTGATCAACTTGAAGAAAAGTCTTTGCACCATTTAAGAGTGACTAGGAGTTTCTTACCCTAAACTGCTCCATTTCACATTTATATATTATCCATTTCTTTTTGCTATGACTAATTGAAAATGACTTGATTACTTCTCTTAATAAACATGAAAAATTGAACATCAGTCTTTATTTAGTATATTTTGAACTTTTGAAGGAAGCTAATGACAGCTACGAAAAATAAATCTTTTACATCAAAAAAAATAAAAAAAGGTTGTAGTGTCAATATTTTTGTCTAAATCTTTTTCCTAAAAAAATTTGATTTGATTTTTCTACCTTATATATATTGCCACTTTGGCATTTACTCTATCTTCTATAAGTAATGATGCATGAGATCAAGTATTGGACGGACCGAGAAAAAAAGTAGTCGAGTCGACTGAACAGATGGACGAGACGAGACTCAACTTAAACCAGACGAGACGAAAACAGTACAGACGAGTCGAGATGACGACAGGACGAGTCGACCCAACCCAACCGAGACGAGCAGACGACTCGAAGCGACAGGATGAGACGACAGGCGACAGGACGAGTCGACACATTCTAGTCGACACGAAAGGCGGAATGACTCGACATGCTTAGTCGACTTAGGTCCAGTCGACACGAAAGGCGGTGCTAGTCGAGACGCCTCGTGTCGACTCAGACTTCAGATTAGGAAAGAATTCCTTTTTGTTATTTCTTTTTTGGATTTGGTTATTTCCTTTTAATTAGACTTAGAGTTTCTTTTTTTATTAGAGTTAGGATATATTTAGTTGGTTATAAGTATTAGTTCCTTTCGTAAATTGTAAATTAACTTTTCAATTATTCAATTAAGAGAATTTTCTCTTTGTTTTGTTCTCAACTTTGAGAAACTTAGAGCTTGTGGATTCAAGCTCGTGAAATACATGCTGTTGTCAGGGCTCGTCGGTATCGGAACGATATCCGATCGGCCTCCCCGTTTCTACGTTTGCGTCATATATTGTACATCGCAGACGGTTTTTCCCAGACGGAAAAACCGTCTGGGAAAAACCGTCTGCAGTACATCGCAGACGGTTTTTCCCAGACGGAAAAACCGTCTGGGAAAAACCGTCTGCAGTACATCGCAGACGGTTTTTCCCAGACGGAAAAACCGTCTGGGAAAAACCGTCTGCAGTACATCGCAGACGGTTTTTCCCAGACGGAAAAACCGTCTGGGAAAAACCGTCTGCAGTACATCGCAGACGGTTTTTCCCAGACGGAAAAACCGTCTGGGAAAAACCGTCTGCAGTACATCGCAGACGGTTTTTCCCAGACGGAAAAACCGTCTGGGAAAAACCGTCTGCAGTACATCGCAGACGGTTTTTCCCAGACGGAAAAACCGTCTGGGAAAAACCGTCTGCAGTACATCGCAGACGGTTTTTCCCAGACGGAAAAACCGTCTGGGAAAAACCGTCTGCAGTACATCGCAGACGGTTTTTCCCAGACGGAAAAACCGTCTGGGAAAAACCGTCTGCAGTACATCGCAGACGGTTTTTCCCAGACGGAAAAACCGTCTGGGAAAAACCGTCTGCAGTACATCGCAGACGGTTTTTCCCAGACGGAAAAACCGTCTGGGAAAAACCGTCTGCAGTACATCGCAGACGGTTTTTCCCAGACGGAAAAACCGTCTGGGAAAAACCGTCTGCAGTACATCGCAGACGGTTTTTCCCAGACGGAAAAACCGTCTGGGAAAAACCGTCTGCAGTACATCGCAGACGGTTTTTCCCAGACGGAAAAACCGTCTGGGAAAAACCGTCTGCAGTACATCGCAGACGGTTTTTCCCAGACGGAAAAACCGTCTGGGAAAAACCGTCTGCAGTACATCGCAGACGGTTTTTCCCAGACGGAAAAACCGTCTGGGAAAAACCGTCTGCAGTACATCGCAGACGGTTTTTCCCAGACGGAAAAACCGTCTGGGAAAAACCGTCTGCAGTACATCGCAGACGGTTTTTCCCAGACGGAAAAACCGTCTGGGAAAAACCGTCTGCAGTACATCGCAGACGGTTTTTCCCAGACGGAAAAACCGTCTGGGAAAAACCGTCTGCAGTACATCGCAGACGGTTTTTCCCAGACGGAAAAACCGTCTGGGAAAAACCGTCTGCAGTACATCGCAGACGGTTTTTCCCAGACGGAAAAACCGTCTGGGAAAAACCGTCTGCAGTACATCGCAGACGGTTTTTCCCAGACGGAAAAACCGTCTGGGAAAAACCGTCTGCAGTACATCGCAGACGGTTTTTCCCAGACGGAAAAACCATCTGGGAAAAACCGTCTGCAGTACATCGCAGACGGTTTTTTCCAGACGGATTTTCCGTCTGAAAAGTTTTCCAGACGGATTTTTTTTCCGTCTGGAAAGCTTTCCAGACGGGTTTTTCGTCTGGATTACACTTTTCCAGACGGAAACTAACTAGACGGCTATTCCAGACGGAATTCCGTCTGGAATAGCTATTGTAGACGGTTTTTTAACTATTCCAGACGGAATATTCCGTCTGGAATGCCATCGTTTGTACCAGTGACGTTAATTATCTCTTGTTTCATTAATAATAACTTAACGAAACATTAATTCCTACAAAAAGCAAAACTACAAGTTTAAGTAGAAAGATACGAATAGTAATGAACAAAGGGATTTTTAAGTTTTACCGACCCAAAACTTATCCAAAAATTCTAGAAGTTTAACTTTGATATTGCCATTACTAAATGTTTGTTTGTTTGTTTTTTTTTTTGTAAGAAGAATATACTTTAGAGTGTTATAGACTTTGGTACGTATATATTCAAATAACACGTAAATAGAAGATGAAGAGGCACCGTACGTATCACAAAACCTCGACATTGGAAAAAAAACATAATTAATCCGGGAAATCAGAACAAAACAACAAAAAGTACTGTAGAGAACACACCGGAGACGTCCCATTTCTGACCATCGCCAGAGAGTTGGCGCACATGCGTATCACGTGATCAATGCCCTCGAGGACCCTCGCCCGCAGCCTACGATCAACCTCATCGTGCGAGAACCCATCAATGCACGTCTCGTGGTTGGTCATGGCACCACTAATGAGGAACTCGACGTCCACGGCGTCGAACCTCAAAGCAACGACATCGCTTTCGGCGAGGCGAAGCTCCTCGAGTGAGTCCTGGAACAAGTACGTGCAGTCCTGGAGGGCATTGCGTTCGCGACGGGTGAGAGTCGCGGAGGAGAGGGAGATGGTTTGGAGGCGGGAGGAGGAGTTTTGGATGGAGGAGACGGCGAGGTTAAGAGAGGCGTGGATGACATCGTTGTGAGAGGAGAGGGATGCGAGGTGAGGGGAGGCGGAGATGGTGGAGTAGCAGAGGTCGGGGTGGCGAGCGGCGGCGCAGGAGGAGAGGAGGATCGAGTGGGGGGTCGTCGCTGAGAGAGTTGAGGTGGGGTTCTGGAGGAGGAGGAGGAGAGGGAGGAGATAGAGGAGCAGGTTCATGGGTTGATTTTGTTGCGTGCTCAGTTTTCGACGGTAGAGTGTGTGTGCGTGATGGATGGAGAGAGGGTTTATAAACTTAGTGATGTAGGAGGGAGGGCGAATTGAATCGTGAGGATTAATGTTGTCGTCGGTGCACCAGCCTCTCGGCAGTGTACTTCTTCATTTGTGTTGGTAATCAATAGTTTGAATTGATTCCCTTTAAGCCTCTGCAGTGTACTTCTTGTTTGGGTTGGTAATTAATGGTTTTGATTTCTTTTAGGATGGAAATAGAAATGTGTTGTCGTCGATGCACCAGCCTCAGCAGTAGTGGACTTCTTGATTTGGGTTGGTAATCAATGGTTTTGATTCCTTTTAGGCTGGAAATAGAAATGTGTATTTTATCTGAACGCGTCTGGAGACTGAAAAGTAATTAATGTAAAGTCGGCTAAAATTTGAAGAGTGCTTTGAATTTCCATCTTTTTTTCCTTCTTGTTTGATAGCTCAAAATGTTGGATGGAAAAATAAATTGAGACGCGCCTATCCAAAAGGGGAGCAAGTCCAGAACACATTAAGCTGTCATCCTGATATTTTTTTAAACGTGTTATCGCAACACGAACTGGTGCACACTAACTAGATATAAGCTATAATGCATTTCTACGATTATATGATGATATTTATTATATATTTAATTAATTAGCATTCAAGATTTTGAGAGAGTACACATCAGCATAGAATGTACTGCATGCATGAGAGCGGGGTGTTCTCAATCATTCGTGAGTTAGTCATGGAACAATTTAGTTATTCAATTGGTCCCCCCTTTTAACCTTGTAATCACCTCGATCACTCGCATGCAAGCATTCTGACTTATTCATATATATTCAATATGATTTGAGTATACACTTGTAGAAGCTAAACAAAAGAGAAACTCGTGCGCATAAAATATGAGAGTAGAGGATACATGGCACGCACCAAAGACGGTGGACGAAAAGCGGCGACATTTACGGAAGGAAAAGGCTACAGGCACATTGTTAAATCACAACCCCAACCATATTCTCTCTATCTACAGTGCAATGGGATAGAGAGAATGTGGTTGGGGTTGTGGTTTAACAATGTGCCTGTAGCACTACCCTTTACGGAAAGATGACCATGACAATTTGCTTAATTGGGCCTTTTGCTATTTAAGTTTGCTTAATTCATATGGAAATCTCCTGTCCCTCATAAGGTAAAAGTTTTTCACTGGATTCTTAGTCATCAAAAACTACAAACGAAAGATGTGCTGACTAAAAAGGGTTGGACCGGCGATACTACATGTCCATTATGTAATTCTGCTAGTGAGACCCATGACCACCTTTTTTCCAAATGTTCAGTTATTAGAGAAGTTTGGTCATTGATCACCCCCAACCTCCATTCTGACATATGGCCGCAAGATATTTCTGCTCTTCTTTCTGGATCTCCCAACCAATTCATCCACTACTGTATCAGATGCCTATGGAGAGTTTTACTACCTTGTTGCTGTTGGAGAATTTGGTTTAGCAGAAATAATAAGATTTTTAATGGTGTAGTTGCTTCTCCTTTGATCATAGCAGCTCATATTGCTCATTAACTTCTCCCCGTTTTTCGGTTCAAAACAAAAAGTTTGTTGGGCCAGCTCAGACCTAGGACCTGCTAGCAAGACATGGAACTTCTCCCCGTTTTTCGGTTCAAAACAAAAAGTTTGTTGGGCCAGCTCAGACCTAGGACCTGCTAGCAAGAAATAAACAAATACAAAGCCCAAAGTCATCTGTACTATTCCGAAAACGGGCCTGTCCCAAAGTCATATTTAGGCAATTCCTTGATTCCACAAATAAGAGTGAGTTTCTCGACCAGATGATTTTATGTATGAGGTTTCAAAGACGGTGGACGAAACGCGACGACATTTACGGAACGATGACCATGACAGTTTGCTTAATTGGGCCTTCTGCTATTTAAATTCGTTGGGCCAGCTCAAACCTGGGACCTACTAGCAAGAAATTAGCAAATACAAAGCCCAAAGTCATCTACTATTCCAGAACGATGACCATGACAGTTTGCTTAATTGGGCCTTCTGCTATTAAAATTCGTTGGGCCAGCTCAAACCTGGGACCTACTAGCAAGAAATAGCAAATACAAAGCCCAAAGTCATTCCAAAAACGGGCCAAGTCCCAAAGTCCTATTTAAGCAAAGGACACATAAGATGCATGTGTCTGTTTCTTTGATTGATTGATGAATAAAAAGACAAGCTACACGATAATGTACTATTTATGATAAAGTACTCGATTGTGTTTTGTTTTTAGGTGTTCTACTAGCAAGAAATAAACAAATACAAAACCCAAAGTCATCTACTATTCCAAAAACGGGCCAAGTCCCAAAGTCCTATTAAGGCAAAAGAACACATAAGATGTATATGTGCTTAAGCCAGCATAAGTTCCCTTCCGGTGTTCAAGCATATGGACCAATTTATCTGGTCACATGATTTTTTTTTTTTTGCTTTTTTTTTTCTAATCCCTGATCAGTAAAAACAAAGAGGTCTGTTATTGCTGTTCCTTTTTTGCAGAGGTCTTCATGTATTTGTTATGATTTTATTCCCTATTAACAATGCATACGTTTTTGTACTTGACGCTCATATGTTAACGGAGTTGTAGTAAACCAGGAACGTATTCATCATTAGTATTATGTTGAGATTGCGGTTCATATTCTCATACATATAAAAGAAAAGGTGACAAATGAACACGAGTTAAAATATTGGCCAAGGTTCAGATGCATATGATTTTGAGTTTTTCTTTTTCCCCTTTAATGCAAGGCAATTAGAATCAGGCTCAGCATCATCTGACTAATAGAACTAAACAACTATCTATGTTCCACATAATATCCATTTAAATGTGATGCAAAGATGAATAAATAATAATTTTTCTGTAAACAATTACAAAATATATGGCACATATTCTGAAAGTAACAAATTGTCGGATTATCAAACTACTGTAAATTTTTCTGCAACAACAACAACATCAACAAAGCTTTGTTCTAATTTTTCGGAGAGAGCTCCATGAAATATTTTCTGCATAAAGAAAGAAAGTTTGTTGAAGAGAGAATTACAATAAGGAACTTTTTAAGTGACAACAATAACAACAATAACAACAAAAAGCATATTTTTTCTAATTTTCTCGTAGGCTAAAATTTTTAAAGGCTTACATAAAATTTCTAGAATTAAAAATATATCAAAATTAAAATATATATAATTTTCAACAATTAATTTAGAATACATGTTCATATACATACATGTATACAAATAATTAAATATTACTTTATTACATACATGAGTATGTACATAGCAAAAGCAATGAGTACATGTCAGAATTTAAGAAATTAAGGGAAGTCACTAGATAGTAAATTTAAGCAGCACATACCATATTAAATAAGTTAAATGACAATTATATTATCATCTTTTCCGGTCACTTGTACAAATTAAAGCTAAGTCAACAAATAAGTTATCTTTTTATTTCACGTGGATCTGCACATATAAGTATGAAAAACTTCAATTTCACCTAAACCTGAACTTGGGGAGTTTTGCACGTAATCATCCTAAACTTTGTTTGTTCAACTTAACTCCTTTTAATTTTAAAGCATCCCACTTAGGGGCGGTTTGGTTCAACAAATTTTTTTGAATTTAAGGTGAATTTGAAATTTAAGCAAGAAACGTCTTATTTTCATTTATGGAATTCCATATAGTGTTTGTTTCAAAAAAATTTGGCATTAGGTATGTGCATAAAATGAAAAAATAGTAGGAACTTTGGGGATTCACCAAGTCCTACAATTGGGAGAGGATATGACAAATGCTGAAAATTTAAAGTTTTGACATTATGTATCCGTACAATTTGTATTTTCTTATATTTTTGGGTTTGAACCAAATAAAAAATAACAAAGTCTAGGATTTGCTTTCCTCTAATCATGTTGAACCAAATAAAATATTAGGAATTCCAAAATACATAAAAACCTATGAACTTTCTTGGTGTGATTCCAAATCCCATAATTTTACAATTTGAACCAAACAACCCCTTAGACTCCTTGAACTTTGTAGTTTTTTCCACCAACCCCCATTGTTGTTATACTATTGATGGTGACCAAGTAGAGGCAAATTTGTACAAAGTAAAGTGAGGTCAAGTGACACCACTTCACTCCACATGTTTGCTTCATATATAGTATCCACGTACATACACTCCCACTTTAAAAAGCCCCAGATCACAAATTCACCCCTCTAAAAAAACTCATAACTAGAGTATAAACTGATCTACAGAGTAAAGTGAGATCAAGTGACATGAGTACTGCTTCTATCAAAACCGTTAGCATACGAGCGGACAATTCTGACGGTCCATGTGCTTGGGGGAGGGGGGGGGGGGGCAA